AGTCCCACCTTGACTACTTTCCTGAAAATTTGGGAGCTGTGAGTGAGGAACAAGGTGAACAATTCCACCAAAATACATGGAAATTAGATGAAAATAATTAAACAGCTTTTTAGTCGCAGACCTGTGATTTGTATTCATATCCAGGTCTACACTATTTAATTATAGTCTTTCATTATATAGTATAGCCCAGTGATGGTGAACCTTTTCGGCACTGATTGCCCAAACTGGAATGCGTGTGTATGTGCGTACACATGCATGCGCCGGAAACCCGAAGACCAGCTGGTTGGTATGCGCATGCCTGTTTTTTGGCCATTTTCAGGCCATTTTTCGGGCCGTTTTCAGGCTATTTTTGGGTGCTCTAGCACATTTGAAGACCAGGTGGCCAGCACACACAGCATGTGTGTGCTGGAAATGAGGAGAACAGCTGGTGATGGTGCTCGTGCCCACACGGGGCTATGCGTGCCATCTCTGGCACGTGTGCCATAGGTTTGCCATCAGTGATATAGCCAATTGTAATGTTTCAGTGCACAGGGCACTTTGCTTCTTATGTAGCTATATACTCTATCCAATACATATTTTACTTATTAAAAATCAGATTTGTTTAAACCTAAACAAATATAATGCATTGTACTCTTTGAATTGTTTATATCAAATATTGAATGGGCTGGACCCATTAATGTATGGAATGTTATAATCTATTAATATTGTTTGCTCTATTAATATTGTTTGCTCCATATAATTGTACAATTGCCAACAAGAGTTGAGCCTATAACAATGTTTTAATTTAACCTCTAGTAAGCAATACTAATAAATGTTTGTAATTTCTTTGACGTGTTCTTTCATAGATAACAAAAATTAAATAACTGAAGAACAGTTCTTGCAAGATTCATGAATAAAGTAACCTATTTATTATAATATGTTAGACATCACTTGAATAATCTTATAATAAAGGTAACCGACTATGAAGTCATGATCTTGAAAAATCTGAAAATGTAGGTAGGGTTCTATTTGGGAGTGGTAATTTGGGAGTGGGAGGCAGTGGGTTTTAGTACTCTCCTTACAATCAGTCATGGAGAAGAACAGTTGAACCCATGACCACACTAACGAGCATCACAGGACTTGGCCGTCTGCTCCGTGTTATTTAACAGCTGCATATTTCTATCCCAAACCAGGCCAGAGATGCCATGCTAATTTTGATCTGGAATCTACTGGTCCTTGATAACACCAAAGAAGCCCCAATTGAATCCCAGCAAATTGAGCTGTTCCTTCTTTTAAAAAGTAAGAATAATTATTACTCTAGATAGGGGTAACACTTTCTCTGAAGAAGCTACTCCACAATTGGATGGTTCTGTTGCACTTGAACTCCTGCTAAAACAACTGGTGGAGATTATGGCCAGGACAGCTTTCATCCATTACACCTGAACTGAGAGACTAACAATAGTAACTCATCATTTCAGAAAGATTACTATAATATGCAGGACTTTCTTTGATGACAATCCAGAAGCAGCAGTTGGTAAAAATATGGTTGAACTGTTAGTGGGAAGAGCCACTCCTGTAATGTATTTGTTTTGGAATGCCACTATTGATTAACAATACATTTTCAACTGCAATTATTGTGCTAGTTTTGTCCTATAAAATGATGGTTTAGTTCCAAGTATTTGAGGAACTATTTTCAAAGTAATTCTGCTTTCCACATTTCCAGAAGGGAATGCTTGGAATTCATTTGAAGTAACGTGGATATTTGGGCCCAAACAGTCCTACCTTGTGGTGGCATCAAAGCAGAGGTGGGTTGCTCCTAGTTTGGCCCAAATTGGGCGAACCAGTAGTGATGGCGGTGGGAGGCTCCGCCTGGACGCTTTTGCGCATATGACTGGTTTCTGAACACATCATCTGGTGCCCAAACAGGGACACCCTCCGGGGGAAGCAATAGCCAACATACTTACCTTCGTCTGGAATAGACCCCAAGGAGCACCTTCATCCACTGGGACCCCTCAGTGGTAAGTATGGGTTGCAATCTATCTCAACAACAGCAACAACATGTACAGGAACTTCGATTCCTGTTACAAAAGTCAGGTGTTACAGCAACCAATTTCGTTGTATTTAAGTACAATGACAATAAAGATTACCTGAGGCGGATATAAGGAAGCTAATTGTGGAGATAGGGAAACATCCCTGCTATCCGGAGTGCGGGACACTCCATTTACAGATTGGACAAAGATAGGATATACTTTTCATCTTGAACCCTGGGCTCCAGTACAGATATTACATCTATGGTTTCAATGCTATCAAGCAATGCAAAAATTTGGCTCTGATGCTTTGGCAGGACAACAATTGACCACAAAACCTCCACCTGATTACGATCAAATAAAAATTATTCCCCCCAAATCATCTTCAATTGGACCTTCAGCTCCTCATGAAGAGGTTAATTCTTCTGTTTCTCCAAGGCCATTGTAAACCCCCATGAGGCAATTTTTAGAGAAACAATTAGCAAAAGGGGGGTATAGAAGAAATTGCTGATATGTTGTCTGTTTGTTCACCTAATTTGATTCCCCAAGATCATGAGGTAATGGTAATTGACTTAAAGGATTGTTTGTTCTCTATTCCCCTCTGCCCTCCTGATCAGGAAAAGTTTGCATTTACTGTGCCTGCAGTGAATCATTCAGAACCTAATAAATGTTATCACTGGACTGTCTTGCCACAGGAGATGTTAAATAGTCTACTTTATGTCGGCTTTATTTTGCTGCAGCATTAGCTCCTTTTCGCAAGCATCATCCATTTGGTATATCATTATATGGATGATATTTTAATTGGAGCCCCAAATATACAACCTAATTGGCTTTCAGAAATACAAAATGATTTAGGTGTCTATAGATTGTAGATTGCCCTGTAAAAAATACAACTGCACTCTCCCTATCTTTATTGAGCATAAAATGTTGCAATCTTTTTCTTCTCCAGTTTTTCTTTACTTAAACTTACCCAAAGTTATTTCCTTGGTTGATTTACAGCAATTGCTGGGTACCCTTAATTGGGTTTGCCCATATTTTTCTTTGCCAACACATTTACTGAGCCCCTTATTTGATTTATTGACCAAAGGAAAACAACCTGGAGATCTCATTGCAGTTCCCTCTGCAACACTTGCCACAGTTGAGAAAATTAATGATATCTTGAGCACTCAGTTTGTGGATCGTATTCCTCATAGAGATTGTCAGTTAACTCTTTTGGTGTTTCCTACTAGTAAGCTACCTACGGGAGTATTAGCTGTATTAGAAGACAAAAAGTTATATTGTGTTGAATAGCTTTACTTACCTCATACCCCATCTCAAAATGTCTTGCCACTTATCCAGGCCATTGCTGAATTAATAACTTTAGGATGCACTCGATCTTGCCGCAGAAATGGGATTAATTTGATTAATGTTGTTCTTCCTATTCTGAAATCTGATTTTCAATTTTATTTTCAGAATAACTTATCTCTTCAGTGTGCTTTAACTGACTATGTGGGCTGTTATTGCATATCATTTGTCTAAAGATCCTCGGCTTGCATATTTAATGACTTCTTCTTTTCCTGTCCACCCACTGCTTTCGTCTTCTCCGCTTTCGCAAGCTCCTGTTTTTTTCAGATGGAGGGCAAATGAAAGGAGCGATTGCTTACAAGGATTCTCATGATGATACCTGGAAGGTGTCCTACACTGCAATACAATCATCCCCGCAACACTCAGAACTGTCTGCTGCTATTTTAGCTTTCCATACCTTTTCTCAACAGCCTTTTAATTTAATCTCTGACTCTCATTATATGTGTCAACTTATTTTTAATCTACCAGGTGCTTACATCACACCCAGAATTGACCCCAATCTTATGGCTCTGTTTTTAACTTTGCAGCAACTACTACAGGACTGAAAGCATTTATAC